TCCAAAGAACACTTCAGTCCCTAAAAAGTACTTTACGATCTCGATATGCAGACGGCCTGGTAAGATTACAAATACCTTGAGTTTACCGTACTTGGATTCCCAAAGTGATGGGACTTACGGCTTAGAACATCGCCAGAAATCGAGGACATTTTGCTCCCGCATTCATTGGTCAGCGGATTGTAGTCGGATGAAAACAAAGATGGCGGTCAAGACAATTTTCATATAAAATATTAAACGATTTAAGTTCTGTGGACCTTCTTTATGGAGAAAAAAGCAAAAGGAAAACAACTCTGAACTGATCTCTTGGTATTTTTAAGGCAGAGCGACTTATAGTAATTTGCTGTCTGATGCAATGCACGGGACACTCTGTACTAAGCTTCAATGTCCACTCAAATTGGCTTTTTTAGTAATCGACTAAGATGTCAGACATTTTGGAAATTGTAGCTTAAACCACTTGCATTATATAATGAGAAGATCTAGGCAAATCACGTACTTGAAAAGGGTTTTTTCTCCCAGTTGAAAACACAGTTCAAGTAATACAGATCTCTCTGATCTGCTTCTTAATTTTCGCGTAAGAAAATTTTTATTCAAGGCTCCACTTTAGTATGAAGGGGTCTGGATTGAGTTTATTTCCCGTCAAACATTGCTGAATTAGAAAAACAAATATGGCGACAGTTTGAAGGTTTCGCGGAGGGCTTTTCTTTTAACGCTTTCCCTTCTGCTGCGTCCTCAAGGATGGTCTCAGATTACAGACTCCACAGAGCAAAAATAGCAATTTTCAAGCTATTTTGGAAGTATCTCATTGTCAAGAAATGTCTCTTTTTATGGACGATTTGCTTACTTCGAACTTCCCTTTATTTAATGCGAGTCGGAGCTAGTTGACTCCCTGGGGGGTTGCACCTCAAATCGACGATCCTTTGCCATGGATTACGCTATATTTGAAACAGACTAGAGGTATTGGCTAGCCTCGAATATCGAACATTGCTGACATTGCGGGAAGTAAGTAGACAAACAGCTTTTGAATTATTTTTATTTTAGAAGTACAGCTTAATCTCTACTGAACATGTTTCGATTTCGCCGCCATTAACTTCTCAATACGCACGCGCGTCCGGTATCTTGACCCAAATTCCTGGCAATGAATTTTAGTAGGTTTTTTTCTTTTAGCTGACAGTAGATTTACCCCTTCGTTAAATGGAGCCTTTCAGACTTTTGTCGAAAAATTGTCCTTGCTTTTTTCGTTTCTTGTTTTTTAACGATAGTTTCCGGGTTGCTGACGATTTTTTAGTAAATTTGCATATTGACTTTGCAATTCGATCCGCAAGCGTTTTTGCCACGTGCAAAAATTATGTATTTTTTTGCATTCTTTTAATTTCAGCTTTGGATTCTAACAAACCTGCTTCGATACACATCGTTCAATTCAGTCATATTTTTCTTCTCTTGAAATTAATTATTCACTTTTCCCTGGTTTTACTTGAGCTTAATTGAAAGTAGAGAATAAATTAATATTTACTGCGTGTACTGTTTGTTTTCCCGTTTTCAAGAAGTTCTGATCTATGCAAAAGTTCAAGAATGACTCAGTTCACAACAAGGACTCGTCCAATTCAATGGGGGCGCTGTCCATTAGAGCCTAATTTCGTCGATGACAAAAACGTGGAAAAAAATACGTGATCTCCGCTTTGCTAAACCCACATGCTACAAAATTTTGCGGAATTATCAGTTCTTGATGAGACTTTAAAGTTGTTCCTTTGAATTTTGCCGTAAAACTGACAAATGAAACAGGAGAGGATACGTTTTAGATCTTTGAGTGGAAGGTTCCTTCTTTCAAGTATGAAATTCTTGCCTGCTCAACCTTAGGAGCAGCTGGCGTTCTTCAGTCAGTTTCAAAGCCCCGTCGCGTTCCACTTCCTTTTTTCTGTTCAACTTTGAGGTTCTCGCCCCTCTTTTTTTAACTTAGTTGGCTTTTTTTCCTTTTGATAATCTTTCTTTTCAATTGAAATTTGGATTAAGAGTTGCCTTAAGCTTTCTTTAGATATCATCAACACTTTGTCGATGACAGCGATTATCCAAGGTCCTAACCATTTAACTAAACCCTTGGAAAAAAAGAAACATTTGAAATCAATCAGTCTTTGTTTATTTGGACAAGATGAATTTTAAGTTCAAATCAGCCTATCATCATCATCATCATCGTCGTCATCATAATGAAGAAGATGAATTCATAATTATATCGTTGCATTGTACTGCCTTAAAAGACGTCTACTAAGTATAGTGGATGAACTTAACTTCTTCTTTCCCTCTATAGTAATACATAACCCATGAAGAGGCAAATATAAAAGAAAACAAAGCAGTTAGGTATCTTGGAAGAAAAGTGTTTATTTCTTACATTAGTTGCAGTAAACGGGAACATTAAAGGCGTGGGCTGTTTTCATTCCTTCTTTTAGGCCTTCCGCAGGACGTTTCTGAGAAAAAGATTCTTAAACTCCTAGGTTAGAAGCTATTTGAAATTTAACACTTGGGTTCGCCTTACGAAAATAGGTGCTTAGCTACTAACTAAAAATTGTTCTTCCATAATCGAGGTGTATAAATTTAGTTGGCTGCAACAGTTCTAATATCATAACTCAGCAGGCTCACTTCTTTTAGAAGTACAAGTTAAAGGAGAATAAGATTCGCACGATGTCTCGTATTCTTCCTTGTTCTCTCCAAATCTTTTTGCTCATCTCTTTGATAGCCAGGAGTCAGACTTTGGCTCGTCCCGTCCCATCGTTTAAAGGTTAGTTCCAGGTTATTCTTTTTCCATGCTCAGAACTTTTTTCTTCGAATTGCAATAACTGAAGGTTAATAGGTACGGAGTAAATTCTCGTCTTGTGTTCAGCTGACTCGATTTTTGTGCAACCATAGTGATAAGGATTTTATTGAGTATGAACTTCGCTTGCATTTTTTTTTTTGTTTTGTTTTTGTTTTTTTCGCATTTTTATATTTCGTCTTCTATTAACAATTGTCATCATTATTTTTCGAATTATTGCGTTTTTGTTTCTTTACGTTAGACATCTGGTCTTTTCTTACACTCAACTTTGACTCAGTCTTTACTTGCATTTTTTATTTTAACTTATCCCATACATCTTCTATTCAACAGCTAATTGTGCTGAGTTGTACAAGGCTGGCAATACATCCAGCGGTGTCTATTCGATTGATCCTGATGGTTTAGGTGCCTTTGATGTGTACTGTGATCAGAGCACAGCTGGAGGAGGATGGACGGTGATCCAGAGGAGACTGGACGGCTCTGTTAATTTTAATCGTAGCTGGTGCAACTACAAGCATGGCTTTGGTAACATGAGTGGTGAGTATTGGTTGGGACTGGACAAGATCAACCGCCTCACTTGGAGAACAAAGAACAAGCTCCGAGTAGATCTGGAATTGAGAGGCAAGCAGAAAGTTCATCATCCCTACGCTGAGTACGACTTGTTCGTAGTTGAGTCCGAATTGAAAAATTACTCCTTGACTATTGGAGAAATGTCTACAGGTAAGTTATATGGTACTTCATAATCCCTATGATTAATATAAAATGAAATAACGAGTCAATTCATTGGCTCGATGTTTTACATCGAAATTTACCCTTACCGAATTTTTATCCGTTAGGCAAACGCCATAAAAGTAAGGCAATATTTTAAGTTTATTTGTTAGGACATAATTATTATGATTTATGGAATTAATGTTTAAAGCAACAAATTAACGAATCAGATAGACTTTTAGGGGGGGAAGGATCAATTGATTGATGACAGTCGAAGTGATGATTTAAGTGGAGTTGATGCGATGTTGTTAAGTTCTATTTGGCAGAAGCAGGCACTAGAAGAAGGCACTTTTGTGACCCAAAGCTTTAACTGCTCATACGTAGCAGACTGGAAAGTAAAGCCTTTTTAATCGATGCGCAATTTGCAACTTTCCTTTAGATGGACAACCAATATATTGATTGGATGTTCACTGATCAGAGCTCTTCCTTAACGCTTGTATGCCTTATTAAGAATTTGTCTTTTTTATGGAAAAGGCGCCATATAAATTATTATCACATTATTATAAAAAATTACCTTGATCATATTTTTTTCTTTCCCTCTCTCAAAAGGAGATGCCAAGAATTCTTTTACTTGCAATCACCACGCTGAATTTTCAACAATAGATAAAGACGACACAAATTGTACCAAAACATTTGGCGCTTGGTGGTTTCCTAAAAATTCAAGTACCTGTGCATGTGGTTACTCAAACCTCAACGGTAATTACCACGATGACCAGATGAATGGTATAAGATGGGATACCTGGGGTGAAGTCCCTGAAGCACCCTTCACCAAAGCTGAAATGAAGATCAAGCCGGATTGTCCAGGAAAATGATTTATTTAAAATAAATGGGATCGTATTGAAAACTTGACAATAAAATATAATTGCAATGTACTAGTTGATTCTTGTGTAACTCGTTGGGTGGGCAAAGATTGTCGAATAAAAGTGTGCAATGCATAAAGTTTTGAAAAAGTATTTCTCCTTCGATATAACATGGTAGTTCGTCCCACTTACAGGGTTTACAAACGCAAAAGCCTATAAAGCTCAAGATAAAAATAAAATTAAAGAAAATAAACACATATGGAATGCAGGGACAGGCGGTAGATAGTGGAGCTGTAACTCACACAAACAAACATGTTTTCCTCGCACCAGAGTGACACGTTATATATGTTAGTCAATTTCAAGAGGTCAGTGAAATAGTCTAGTCATCCCATTTTTGCATCGATTAACTGGGTGACGGAGGACTAACTTGCATAATAGAGAAGCAGCTTAAATCCAACAACGCTATGCTTTGCAAAACAGCAGCATCACGGACCAAAACTTCGCGTATTAACCGAGGCAAGGGCCGCACTGGGAATTATTGGCCCGAAGTCGAGGCAGTACTGACCAAGCGCAGCGAGTTCCGTACAGAAACGACCACCGAAAGCATATGGCAGTTAAAACTCTCACCAATTAAGTGGGATTAAACATTTTATTAACTTTAAAAGGATTTACAAATCATAAAAAAGGAAAACAAGATCGAGTTTCTTTAGCTAACAAACATAGCAACATCTTTTAATACAAATCTATTAGAGCAAGTTTTACAGGCCTTGAAGCATATACTTGAGATACTTTTCAGCAAAGACTTTTTATCTAGATTTACCTTTCATAAGTTTCCTTATGCGCAAAATCAGAAGATTTGGATCTCGATTCATTTTCGGGGAAATCAGTATTCTATATGCACCTTTGTTTCACGTAACAAGACGAATAAGAACTCTCCTAAATAATATGGTTCATACATTCTACAAAACCAAATATTCTATGATTATACGATTGTGTGTAAGATTTTAATGACTCTAAGTGCTGTCGCCTGATGATTTTAAGAACTGTTATAGTGCAGCAAGCTCAATGCGACACGTTTAAGTTAATTTCAGATAGGAGGACGAATGTTCCTAGGTTGTGAACTAAAATATTGCTCGATCTATGAACACACTCTCAAGCACTCTTTGCTTCTACTTCACTTCAAATCTGCCACTGATTTCATCTTCTGTGATGTTAATATATGTCCTCTGAAATTGATGGATCAAAGAGAATAAGAAATGTCAACTTAGATGTGCTCAAGGAAAAAAATATACGATAATGGTAATGACAGCAGATATTAAAGATCTAAGTAACAAAGCGGCTGAAGAAGGCAAGAAGGTATAAATATAATCATGAGGGACAACTAACTAAGCAAGAAGTGAAACACCGTTTGAACCATAATAATCTCAGCAACATTTTATTTCAGGGCTAGTTCTACTTTTTTCATCTTCCTTTTGAAAGGAATTTTGATATAAATGTAATCTGCTTCGCCATTTGAACAATAGAGAGCGTTTCAACTTTATCGCTGCAAGTTAAATCTCGCATGACTCTTCTCAAATCAATGAAAGTTACTCATTTGAAAACTTAGAGATTTATGTTTATAATCTTTTTGAAACGAATTAATTTACTATTCAACAGATAAAAACCGGAAAGAATGGAAGAAAGAGCTAATGATTTGTCTAAGTTCAATTTCACTCACCTTTACTTCTCGTAAGAAGTATTCCAGCCGATCTACGATGTCAGCAAACGAAGGTCTCATCAAAGGATTTTCGTTCCAACAGGATCCCATCAGCGTATACCTGCAAATACATTGCGGCATTCTTTATTTTTTGGACCTACCTTTTCGTTGAACTTACTCATTCTAAACACGGCGAAACCGCAGAGCTTTTAACAGCGACATATAAACTAGGTGGAGTTTCAAATCTGAAGAGAGGCAAACCCTTCTGTTATTCCACTCCCGGGACAAATGGTTCAAATTGCTGACGTGAATGATGGGGAAATTGTTATTTGATAGAATAAAAAACTGATAGAGTGATAAATAAATGTAAACATATCAACACACACTCTTGAAATTAATCGAGATGCTTACAATTCTTCCGAGCATTGGTCAGGACGTGGCATCCGGTAACCCGTAGAAAGCCGACTCACCAAGGCAAGTGGTGTTGCGATGTCAGGGTATGGTGAATCACCTGTTAAGCAGAATAAGAGAGTATGCTTCTAACAACAATAGCTTAAACTTAACTTATCATCATGAACGTTTTAAGCAGGTTCTCACTCCAACACACTCGTTGACATAGAGCTTTGCTGGCTATAGCCAATAGGGCCAAAAACTGAAAATATTTCCTAGAATATTTTCAACTTATTCAGGTCAGTAATCCCATGTGAATCATTAAGACTTATGGAATAACACACCAAAATAATTATAACCCAAGGAATTGCCTACTTTTTCCCCCTTCAAAAAGCACGGTCAGGCTATAAAACAAAGTATTTTGAATTAATATGAATTTGCACATACCCCCAATCCTTTTCCCATCGCCTGCACTCACTTCCATATTAAAATTCCTAGTTTATCAAATAGTTTAGTGACTTACCATATGTTGCTATTTCCCAAAGTAGTATGCCAAACGACCACCTGAAATGGGCAAAAAAAAGCCAAAAAGCAATGAATGATGATTTGCTTTTAGTTAAGAATATGGAATATCTATTTTTTTTCGCTAAATCCATTCTTGTAGTTTAAATAAACAAACCAACAATTATGGTTGAAAGTGTCCGAGAGCAAGAGATTATAAACCACAGTTTATATTCTCTCGGCGAGAGTCATCAATTACCATGCTTCAGTGCCGAACACTACATACTATTGATGGTGGCTTCTCAGACTAAGCGATCTAACCTGGCTTGGAACAATCCTAAAAGGTTTTCGATGCAAGATATTCTGCATTTGAAACCTGGATATTACAAAGTCAGGGGGAAAGGTGAGAAGTCACCGCTCCATGAATTGTTCTCATTCTGGGGAAATCTCAGCGGCCTGATTTGCCAAAAGCATGTTGGTGGTCAATGCCCCTCCCCCCCACCCCCAAAGTCAGCCCTTGTATGCTACTTTTTGTGTCACTTACACATCGCTCTTGGATGTATAAACTCGATCTCGTAGAGATTCTAAAGACGACCATCTCCAAGGAATTTTACCCTGTAAAAGTTGAAGGAATACGTGATTGTGTAACATTAACCGATATAAAATGAAAACAAGAACAAGTTGCAACGCCAACCTGATATTCTTCACCATGGGTCATGGATTAGGAAATCGAAATAGATTTTTGAAGGATATATGTGGGGCGTTGTCCTGTCTGGTTTGGAAGGAAATATTTTAATATACAGCTCACGGCAAGGTTCGCCCCTCTAACGTGGTTCATGTCTATACTAAGGTAGTTTGGTTATATCAACTAAGTTGAAATTGTAAAGTGGCCACCGTAAAGAGTTAACAAGAGTTTTAACTCTTAACGGTGGCAAATTTACAACTTCAGCCTCGTTGATGTAACCAAATTACCTTGTTACCCCCACCGACGCAGCACCACAGTTTCTTTAGAAACTTTCACCCTTTATTCATATCTATACTAATTGTTTTGGGTTTGAAACAATTCAGACAGAAAACAAGACGCAGATTTGCGTAGATAAGGATTTTAATAGAATCATTTTTTTTGCCGTTCTTGTGAAAAATGAATAATCATATTCAACCAGGGATTTTAATATTCTGCGGCTTTCAACACATCTATACAATGCAAGTAGTACGAGTAACAACTAGAGATCTACTTCTTACACATGAGGTTTTGACGTATAATCCATCCTCCAAGATTTCCCTGGCTAAGCCAAAGTCTCCGACTTTAGCCACCATGTTTGAATCGATAAAAACATTTCTCGCAGCAAGGTCGCGGTGAATGCACTGAAAAGAAAGTTGCCATACCGATTGTCTATCGTGTTAATATTATTGGAAAGTATACAATAAATGATTTAAATCTTCACTAGGAACTTCGTTGGAAAAGTTTTCTGAAATAGACCAACCTTCTTCTCTTCTAAATGTTGCATTCCCAAGGCCACCTGTAATGCAATTCTCAACAGCTGTCGGTCATTCAGCTCACAGACCACATTCGCATATTCGTTACTTTCGTCCTCCTTACACTTCAAAAGACTTTCAAGGCTACCACCGTGGACCAATTCGGTGACGACAAAAATAGTTTCTGAGGAAGGAAAAGTTATCAAGAACGAATTTGCTACTCCAAATTGATGGGAACTCCCACACCCCAACTTCAAAGGAAAGTGAAGCGATTCTTGTGGTAATAAGAGTGGGAGTTGCGTTGAAGTTGTTAACGAAAACAAAGTTTTTCCTCTCTTTCACCCACATATTCCATAAAGGAAGAGTGCCATCCATAACCCTTTTGTAGGCCCTCGGCCTATACGGGCTTGACGATTGAAGCGTTTTCTAAGCGGCTGAACTCTTAGGAGCTGGAAAAAGTCGCCAATTGTAATCATACTGTTGGTTAGGAATGACGTGACATGTTTGCAAAGGCGGTTCGCACCTGGATTTCTGCTAAATACAATTGCATACCAAAATCTTAAAATTTGTAAAATCAGTAAGAGCCAGCTTTCAAAAGTCGCGGTTAGATGAGTGAGGAAAGAAAACGATAATATAAACAACAGCTTGCGAGGTCTTTGTTTCTCAACTCCGCCCTGACAAGTTAATGAGCTAGCGAAATTTTCTCTGAGGAGGAAAGGGCGCAAAATGTCGACCAAGGTCACGAGAACAATAGGCATTCTGCGTCATCATTGTTACGGGCTGTCTGAAAGGCAGTCAAGAAATCGCAAAGTTATGTTTCCATAAATGAAAACAAAAGAATTGGAGGTTTCCAAAGACAAAGACATTGCTCTCAAGTGGCCTTTCGCGTTGAACTCAAAAACGTTTCCCACGACTTAACTTTACTTTAGCACCCTGGTTACCCTGTAAACTTTCTTACACGGATAACCATACATGTTTTGTTTTTCTTTTTTTGTTCGTAAACTCGTGAAATTGGTCCTAATGGACATTCAATGTTATTAGCATAGTCGAAATAAACCTTACCTCCTTGTCTCCATGTTCCAACTAGATTGACAATGTTCGGATGTCGTCCAGCTTGCTTCAGCGTCTTTATCTCATTTAGCAACGCAGCTTTCGCAAGAGTATTTGCATTACCTAAAACAAAATAATAGACCATGGTGATGATTAACCATAAGTTAGTTATGTTGTTGTTCCTAGAATGCAAAAGGAAAAGAAAAAAATCAAGCAAAGACTGTAAAAATAGAGTCTGCTTTGTACCAAACCAGTCGTAATCGCCTTTGTTTGCTACATATATCATGATACACTTCGTTTTCCATAGATAATGCTGATTACAATTGGGTGACAAACAGTAGTCCCAAAAATAAGTATGATAGCGTTTTATTTGCTGATTCGCCCGCACTGCCGAAAAAAAGATTAACAGAGAAAAGATCTGTGCCAATAGGGTAAGACCCTTACGCATACCTTTCAACTTCTTAACTGCAACATCAGTAATGCTACCGTTCCTTCCACCATAGCGACCTTTGTAAACGATTCCATACTCTCCTCTTCCAAGTACCTCATCGAGTACTTCGAGATTGCCTCGGTCTTTTTCGCTTTCTTCTAGCTTGACGAAGACAGATTTTTGCATTTCGTCGCTATCTCCGTCGTCCTCATCCATCCTATTGTCTGGATACAAAATCTTGTTGATATCGCAGTGACTACAGCCATCTTCGACATCTAGATGACTATTTCGTGAGATTAAAAATTCTTCTGCATGACCTTTTTTGTCAAAGATGGGATTTCTGAAATGTTTATCTCCAACATCTGATGGAGTGAGAGTCTTTCTTCCCTTGGACGATACTCTTGGTATCGAGGCAACATTCCCGTCGTCTTGTTTGTGTTTTTTTTTGTTCAGCGCATCAGTATTTTTCTTTTCAGCATCTACCAGCGGAGGCATAGCATTTGCCTCTGAAAGCACTCTTCCTTTCGTATCAGCATTCGTATCTTTCGGCATCCCCTCAGCCAAATCTTTATTGGATATGCATGCCACATAAATCTCTTCCTTATCTATGTTACGCTGCTATTGATACAGAGAGGAGGTCAAGATGTTTAATGAATGAATGAATGAATAACTTTATTTAGACACGTGACATTGATGAGTCTAAGAAAAAGATTCATTACAGAAATGTACGTGTATCTACAATAGTTGTAAGTATTTGAAAGCTATAAGTTTTTAAAAGGGTATTTAAAAAGACTAAGAATTATTACAAAACAAAATTAGAACCATTTATACCATCAGCTACAATATACTTTAGTCAAAGTAAGAATCACAAGTCACAAACTTAACTTCCTAAGTTAGGCAAGAAAGTTTTTGTTACCTGTGTTAGATATTAGTACCAATACCCTGGCGATCGAAATGCCCACTCTAAGTGTTCTCACGAGGTCTATTTAGCAGCGATTATGGTTTGAAAAATTTTCTTTGTGACTGATCAAGGTAACTTTATCTCGCATAATTATGGCAAAAAATTGGGTTTTTCATCGTTTTCATAATTCCCCTTTTGCTATTCTATTGGGTTGCTATTCTGTGGCACCTGCCTTAAGCCATTCTCCACGATTGACCTCTTAATACAGGTTGACTGTAGTAACGGGACGCCAAGATCGATGCGACATCCACGCGACTACGTGACAATTTTAATTTTCATGATCATGTTTGTCACAAAATCCATCGTCTATCGCCTAACGTCCACCGTCTATCGTTTATCGTTTATCGTCTTCTATCTACCGTCTACCGTCTATCGTCTGGGTTTTTTAATAGAAAGTATTACCTCTTCATTTGTTCTTGCGCGTCGATAAAAAAATGCCATAGTGCATCCGCACATGAATGTGATTATGGTACCACCAAACACACTAAGCACTATAATCAGGGGGACTGAATGTTGTCGTTCCTTTCTTGGCGAGGCTGTAGTTGGATGTGGTTGATGAAATAAAAAGAACCATTAAAAACAGCAAGATTAGACAACCGCATGGCCCCTGTCGAATGCATCATTTTTTTACTTGAGCTGGTCGTTTTATCTTGTTTCGCGAGAAACTACAACCTGATCATCTCTTTGTAAAAAATGAGGGCATATTTGATTACAGCCTTCATTTAATGGTTTAGTTGGCAAAAATGAGGAATTTCTTCAAATTATCATTGTGTAAGTTTTTATCCTGAGTTCTGCTACATGATTGCCCACCGACGAAAATGAATGCCAAGTTACAACATAATATCAATATGCAACCTCACCTAAATGTTTAATGAAAAGGAAAGCAGATTTCGACTCTATTTCCCCAGCGCTGCTCTTCGCAACACAATAGTATTTGCCTTTATCTTCTTCCTTCACTTCTTTTATTGACAGCTGGCTCTGCAGGATGCCTTCGCCATCTAGTGGAATGCGAATTACTTTTACTCTTGGGTTTGAGTTAACAGCGTGCGAATTATTGTTCTTGACCCATGTGATGTTTCGCTTGAGAAGACCAGAGGCAGAACAGTTAAAGGTCACATTGAAACCGACAAAAGCTGTTTGGTTCACTGGATCCTCAATGATCCTCGCCCTGCCGTCTGAAAGCGAAAGTGAGCAAAATCTAATATTGTGGACGAGGAAAAAGGATGCGAAAGAAGTACATGAAACGAACGAAAATGCGAAGAGATGGTGAGTATTGATAAGATAATACTTTCCATGACTCGAGGAATTTTGAGAATTCGCACAAGTAAGCTATTCTAAAACACTTTCTACAATTGCTTTTTGAAAGCATTCTTTCACTCGCTCTAACGAAGGGCTGACGCTCGAAATGTCAGCTTTTTGACTCTTTACGGTAAATTACAATGATAATAAAGTATTATCATTGGTGGTCACTTGTGATATGAATCGCGACGTTTCGACTGCATACTGCTAGCCTTCAGCAGGCGATAAGGTCGACTGGTTTCGGGTCTTCTTATAAAGCAGGATGCTTCGCTGTAATCGGTCAGCGTTCCACAGAATCAAAGAGGCTTCTAAAAACATCAACGGGGACAATGCAATAAAAATTCTCGAAGCGTGGATGCCCACAATCAAGAAACATAACAACAGGAGAGCCGTACGACAGAGAACTGCCGAGAGATCAACTCAATAACATCGAGGATCAAAACGCGTCAATCACATCTACGGAATACCAACCAATCACAGCTGAGCATCCTGCATTATAAGAAGACCCGAATCCAGTTGACCTTATCACCGGATGAAGACTAGCAGTATGCATGTCGAAACGTCGTGATTCACATTACAAGTGACCACATCGTGAGATAAATGATAATACTCTATTATTATAGCATTCTTTCAACTAGTTCAACTTCATCGCCTTCCCATAAGAAATAGTCGTTCCATAATAAAACTTCATGTCTAGAGAAGAAGAAATGTAGAGCGGGTGTCTCACCTAAATCCTTTGTGGACAAGAATGCCGGGTTTGATGCCTTTTCTCCTTCACTGTTATTTGCTAAGCAGTGATATTTTCCATCATCTTCCCTCTTTACATCCTCTATAATCAGCTGGCTATGAATTTTCACGTCATCGAGGTCAGTTTGACTGACATTAATCCGTGGGTTGGAACGAACAGCAAGTGAGTTATCGTTCTTTATCCATTTGATAGATGGCATGGGATGACCTTTGGCAGTGCAGTTAAAGGTTATGTTGAAACCGGCATCAGCAGTTTGGTTCTTAGGATCCTCGACGATCTGTGGTGCAAAGAAAGCTGACACCGGCAGTATCAGATAACAGTGAATTTTTCTTTTTTTTTTTTTTTTTTTTTAAGAAATGAAGCAAAATTTCAGAACCCGCCAGACAATTTTGACAAAAAAGGATACAAGTAAATAGGGAAGGTAGGCAAGTAAGGTAAACACATCTTGAATAATAAGCCTTACGTTTTTGCCATGTCCAATAAATTTTGCTCATGCCTCTCTAATCTTGCTATCTGTGTGATGGATGTCCTCCCCTTGGGTGGGATGGGTGGGCAGATAGAGGACCACCCTAATTAACTTACTGTTACTGGTGATATCCTATGTAAATATTTATTATTATTATTATTATTATTATTGTTATCTATGTTACCTCTTCACTAGAAATTGCATACTTTTAGTGTTTTCCATCTAAAGTTAGAAGTGACCATATCGTGAGACAAATGATAATACTCTATTATTATTGCATTCTTTCAAGTAGTTCAGCTTAATTGCCTTCCCATAAGAAATAGTCGTTCCATAATAAAACTTCATGTCTAGAGAAGAAGAAATATGGAGCAGATGTCTCACCTAAATCTTTTGTGGACAAGAATGCCGGGTTTGATGCCTTTTCTCCTTCACTGTTATTTGCTAAGCAGTGATATTTTCCATTATCTTCCCTCTTTACATCCTTTATAATCAGCTGGCTATGAATTTGCACGTCGTCGAGGTCAGTTTGACTGACATTAATTCGTGGGTTGGAACGAATAGCAAGTGAGTTATCGTTCTTTATCCATTTGATAGATGGCATGGGATGACCTTTGGCAGTGCAGTTAAAGGTTATGTTGAAACCGGCATCAACAGTTTGGTTCTTAGGATCCTCGACGATCTGTGGTGCCAGGAAAGCTGACACCGGCAATATCAGATAATAGTGAATATTTTTTTGGAAGAAATGAGGCATAATTTTAAAACCCGCCAGACAATTTTGAAAAAGAAGGAACCAAATAAATAGGGAAGGTAGGCAAGTAAGGTAAACACATCTTGAATAGTAAGCCCCACGTTTTTGCCATGTCCAATAAATTTTGCTCAGGCCTCTATAATCTTTCTATCTATGTTACCTCTACACTAGAAATTGCATACTTTTAGTGTTTTCCATGTACATTTTATAAATATTAACCAACAAAGAGCATGTGAACTCCTCCTGGATGGCAGCTGGACCATCAAAGGTAAATATCAATACCAAACAATTTTCAAGCGCAGTTTAGAGCAAAAAACACTCGTCGCCACGTTCAGCACTTAACTTAGGTATTACATTCAGGATGAAATACCATTAAAAAGCTCAATTAGATGGCGTGGGGAGGGGGGGAGGCAATGAACTGAAAACGTCTGATAGGATGGTAGAAATCACCTAGGAAACTGCTGTTAATCTTTTACTGTAATAAATTACTGTTATAAATACGATATGCAAAGTTTTCCTCACTGTGAAGAGTGAATCAGAGCACAAATAGATGTAGCCTTTACGACAGGCAATGAGATAACCCACGGGTTTTGTGAGGATTTAACTATTCATTTTTACTCCTCAGGCCTAATTCTATTTCGAAACTAGTATTTCTTTCTCCTCTCGTTATCACCGACTGGCCAAACTTTTCTTGTGGCCAGGTATTATGATGAACTACCAGAGCTTCATGCTGGCACTGTGTATGCTAGTTTACTTTACAATTCGCGAGTGTGTGCTCACCGAAAATAGCAATTTTCCTTGCCAAGAACTTGCTTCTCGAAGATATTACTTTAGATGTGTTACATACCTTGCAGTTTTATTTCGACAGTACTTTGCCTACAATATTCGACATAATCATTCTCCGCCTCACAAGTGTAGCTGCCGAACTGTTCCAAAGTCAGCCTCTGCAGCATTAATCTGCAGCTTAGTTTTCTCACTGCTGGTGTGCCCTGCAGGCATTTGGTTCCAACTGGTTTACCCTGAGGATCATACCACTGAATATACTTGGTCCATCTCCTGGGAAATAGTCGGTCGACATTCCTTGGCCACGCTATGCAAGTCAAGCTAATAGCTGCACCTATTGTTAAAGTGCGGTTTGGCGGACTTGTGAAGATATCTATTTCAGGTATCACTGAACGGAAAAGATGAAAAAAATGAAATGCGTTGCCCTCGAACTAACTTAAAACAGTTATGACGATGACTCAATCGGTAACTTCATAACAAAAACTTGATTCATGGGGTAAGGATGTAACTATAAATTTGCCGAAAAAAAAAAAAAAAATTAAAAGATACAGTTGCTACTAACCTGTCTTACTATTACATCCCTTGCTCATTTTTGCGGATGAAAGGTTGCTTGGAGCACTGGTAACAAGTAATAGCATGATAAAGTTGCTAATGTCACGACAAAGCCAATGTGTG